GTGGGTTATGATTGGTTGCTTTTGGACCAATCATGAGGTGCCGGATATGCAAATTTGAGGGATTCTAGTGGCCAATCAGAGCAAGGTTTCGAAGGTCAGGTTTTTGGAAGGGAACCAATCATGGTAATTGTTTGCTCTCTGAGAAACCTCGGCAGACTCGCTGGTGTGCAGCTTCCCACAGAGCTTGGCACAAGGAGCTGTGTGATGGAAGAGGAGGAGGAGGAAGAGTCAGATTCTTAAAAGAGAATAGCCAGAGTTCTAGAACTTAAATTTCTAAGTGTCAATAAACTTTTATTTCTGAAGCCCTTGGCATTTTCTTTTAAAAAGTCACCATGCTGCAGTAGGCTCTGTGGCCTGCTCCAGAGGGAAACAAGGGCCACAGGAAGCAGTGTAGTTTGGAAATAGTTCCATCAATATCCAATCTCCAAAATGTTTGAACAGAAATTAATGACATATAGAAAATCAAAGCTATGCTAGCAGCATTGAGCAATCTTGGTGGTGCTCTCTGTAATCTGGTCTGATTCAATAACTGTGTCCAAAACAGACAAAAATTCCTCTAAAATTCTATTGCAATGATATTTGCAAGAAGGGCAGAGTTTAAATACAAACCAGACTTCCCAGTCAACAAAGCCTTTTTTAAGAAAACCAATTAGAACCTCTTCACGTGCCATTGAAACCTTGTGAGCAGTTAGGCCACAGTCTAAAAAAGGAAGATGACAAGGGGGGGAGAGAGGACCACTTGAGAGCTCAAGCTGTTGCCACCTCTCAGAGTTATTAAAACACTGTGTTCTGCTGACTGCTCTGTGTGTCTGTTCCCACAACTACCAGGGCACTGCACAAAGCTCTTGGAAAATGGGGTTAAAATACAGCCAGCAAGTGGTATGGCGCTGAAGACAATGGATTCCATATGGCCAACTGCAGTTCAAATACTGAACTTTAAGGAAAATTCACACCAAGGTTGTGTGCATATCCTGCATGCCCAAAATCCTAGGGGGAGTAGAGATTATGGCATAATCATTCCCCCTGCCCCCATGATGTGATTTTTCACTTTCTGTCTCTCTAGCAAGCACACACCCTGTGGTAAAACAACAGGGAGAGAGGGGAGAGAATGAGTCTTATTTTGATGCAAGAAATCCATGCTTAAGTTTTGTAATATACATGTTCCATGAACTTTTAGTAGTTTAGGAGATTCACTGGTTATGTGATTAGAAATAAATTATAAATAGCTGTCAAGGAGTTTGCTGGTTTTGGGATAACAAAAAAGAAAAGCAGAATTTCTTCTTCTAAGCAAAAATACAGCAAAAATGTTTTAAAACCCATCTCCAGCGCTCACTTCAGGCAGCATACACACAAAAATTGGAACAATACAGTAAGATTAGCATAACTCTTTGGCAAGGATGACATATAAACCCTTGAAGCATTTCATATATTTTTTAATTTCATCCTGAACTGATCAACGAGGGCAGAGCAGTGACATCTGTCATGCCCAGGAAACAGATGGTGAAGAGGTTGATGATTCAGTGAGCATTCAATGACAGATTCAAGACCGAGTATCACAAGAGATGGAGGTGATACAGACGTTGCTATAGCCAGTCTTTAAAGATTCAGTACATATATTTCAAATAAAGATGAAAAGTTAAGTGAGGCTTATGGAATTAGGGCTGAAATGGTAAAAGAAGTGATGTAGAAGGTACCACTAAAGGGAGGTACAGGAAAGTAGAGTTCTTGATGTTGTTCCTGTTGATAAAACCTTTTTTTACTGGGGAAGATTTGGGTGAACTAGAATAATTAAACTCTTGATTTTGAAGACTGATACCAAACAAATCAGTGAAAAAAAGTTGCCTTAGCATGAGTTAAAATTGACTACATATTTTTTCCTATTAGAATCAACAAGATGTTATTTCCCATGCTGATTCTGGAAGGCTTAGCCTTCTCCAAAAAAAGGAGTATGCTCTCTATGAACTTTCTTCAGACTTTGACTGTATCTCATAGTAAATTTGGAGTAGTTCATAATAAATCAAAAACATAATGGTCATTGCAGAAAATGTTTGATTGTTGTCAACTCAAGTAGGAAATGCAACTACTTTACCATCTTTTTTTTTTTCATTTTGCATGTTATTACCACAAACATAAACACATTTTAAAATCTCAAAAAGAAACAATTAATAATAAATTAAAAAATAAAATATCCCTTTGATATTAAAACACACACAAAAAAAAAGACAAAAGAAAGGGAGGAGACTCCCCAATGGCTCTTGAGAACTAGTGAATTCAGAGAAAAATGAGAAATAAAGATTTTATACTGAGAATTCTGTCTCAAGCCCACAAACTCGAGTGAGAGATCTAAGGGATCCATAGCCAAACATCCAAATACTATTCGGGTTAACATATTCCTCAATATTGACTGAATCTGCTACATAAAGAGATAAAAATGTAATGACAAAGATATCTCAGATCACCTCCTTCTGCATGCTCCTGAATGCTCAGATTGAACTTCAAGAATTAGGAAGAAACACACCATCCATCAGATGACCAGAAATCACTGCAAGGCCACAAGAAATATGGAAAAGCAAGAAAATATCTCTCCTCCAAGGGAAAAGAATAACTCCTCTTCATCCTCAGACAGTTCAATGCAAATCATGGAAATGTCTGATAGAGAATTTAGAATATTCATAATGATGAAACAAACAGAGATGGAAGAGAAGAGAGGAAATGAACTGTGGGAGAGGCAGGAGAAAACAACTGATGAGTTCCAGGAGGTGAAGACATTCTTGCAAGAAAGTAAAAGAGGAATTGCACACTTTAAAGGATTGGACCTGTTATAGATGAAGGCTATAATATAGGAAGTCAAAATCTCCCTTGAAAGTATTAAAAGCAGAACAAATATACAGAAAATAGAATCTCAGACATAGACGAGAAAATTGCTGACCTAGAAAAATCCACCACAGAGGCTGAGAAAATTGCCCCCAAAATGAGAATAATATATGAGAAATACTGGATACCATCAAACATCCAAGCATCCATAAAATCATTATTCCACAAGGCAAAGAGACTCATAAGGGCATTGATAATCTATTCTGTGAAATCTTGCAAGAAAACTTTCCAAACATAGAGAGGCACTCAAAGATCTAGTCCCAAGAAATGCAAAGGATCCCAAATAGAATCAACCCAAGAAGATCTTCTCCAAGAAACATTATAACCAGATTGCCCAAAACCGCAGAAAAAGACAATAAACTTAAGACTGACAAGAGATAAATGGCAAGTTACCTACAAAAGATATCCCATCCGGCTCACAGCAGACCTCTCGTCAGTAACAAAGTAAATGAGGAAAAATGAGAAAATATATTCAAAGTGCTAAGGGAAAAGCAATTTCAACCAAGAATACTGTACCTGGCAAGATTATCCTTCATGTGGGAAGAAAAGACAAGAACATTCTCAGATAAAATCTGAAAGAACTTACCAACACCAGATCAGATCTCCAAGATCTCAAGGGCGTGCTATACCAGGAAAATTCAATACAGACACTCAGAAATAAGAGTTCAAAAGCTAAGAAAATTTTCAAATTAAATATAGGGACAAGTCTGGGGATGGTCATGCCACAATCCCTTCTCCTCCATTCTCCTCTCGGGATCTTGGGCACACACGCACATGTGCCTGGCATGAGTTTTAAGCCACCGGGTCCGGGACGTGAACTGCAGTCGACTATGTGGGAGTCCAGTGACATAGCCGTTACGCTAACTGCTGGTTCCCTGCTTTTAATACTTTCAAGGGAGATTTTGACTTCCTGTATGATAGTCTTCATCTCTAACAGTTCCATTTGATTCTTTTGTAAAGTGTGAAATTCCTCTCTTAGATCTTGCATGAATTTTCTCACCTCCTGGAACTCGACAACTTCTTTCTCCTTCCTCTTCAGCAGTTCATTGTCTTTCTTCTCTTCCATCTCTGTTAGCTTTGCCATTATGAATGTTCTGAATTCTTTATCAGTTATTTCCATGATTTCCATTGAACTGTGTGTGGATGGAGAGGAGATATCCTTCTCCCTTGGAGGAGAAGTTTTTTTTCCTGCTTTCCCATATTTCTTGTGGTCC